TTTGGATTGTTTTCTTAGTCTCGAATTAATTTCTGCTCTGATTTTTATAATTTCCTCCCTTCTTTTGGCTTTGGGCTTGACTTGATCTTCTTTTTCTAGATGTTTGAGGTGTAGCATCAGGTTATTCATTTGTATTTGCTCTGTTTTCCTGACATGAGAACTCATTGCAATAAATTTTCCTCTGAGGACCACTTTCATTGCATCCCACAGACTCCAGTAAATTATATTTGCATTTTCATTTGCTTGTAGGTATTGTTTAATTTCTTCTTTAATTTTCCCTGTGACCCACTGATTGCTTGAGTGTGTTATTCAATTTCCATATGTTTGTGGGATTTTTGCAGTATCTTTTTTCATTAATTTCTAATTTCATGGCGCTATAATCTGATAACATGCATGGGATGATTTCAACTCTTTTGCATTTATTTAAGTATGTTCTGTGGGCTAATATATGATCTATTTTAGATAATGTCCCATGTATTGCTGAGAAGAATGTGTATTCTGATTTTGTTGGATGGAACACTCTATATATGTCCATCAAGTCTGTTTGTTCACAGTGCAATTCAGTTCTATTATTTCTTTGCTGATTTTTCTGTCTGGTCGATCTGTCCCTTGGTGTCGGTGGTGTGTTAAGGTTTCCTGTTATAGTTGTGTTACTGCTAATATGGTTTTTCATTTTTGTTAATACTTGCTTCATATAACTGGGTGCTCTGAAATTTGGTACATATATATTTAAGATTGTTATCTTTTCCTCTTGAAGTTTTCCCTTAACCAGTATGTAATGATCTTCTTTATCTCTTATGATCATTATTGCTTTAAAGTTCACATTGTGTGCAAAAAGAATAGCTATCCCCACTTTTTGGGGGGTTCCTGTTGCATGTAGTATTGTTTTCCATCCTTTGACTTTCAGTCTGTGAGTATCCTTTTGGGTTAGATGGTTTTTTTGTAGACAGCATATGGTTGGATGTTGTTTCTTGATCCATTCTGCCAGCCTGTTTTTTTTAACTGGTGCATTGAGATGATTTACATTAATGGTTATAACTGTTATATGTTGGTTTCTTGTTGATATGTTATCTTTCTGCTGTTGCATCTTTATCTTTCCATTCTGTTTAATTGTCTGCTTTGCTTAGTGGTTTTTTCTTGTGTATCTAATCTGTCTTTCAGTATTCTTTGCAGGGTGGGCTTGGTGATCATGAAGTTCTTCAGCTGTTCTTTGTCATGAAAGTGTCTTTATTTCTCCATCGATTTTGAAGGACAGTTTTGCAGGGTACATCAGTCTACGTTGGAAAACATTTTCATTTAGGGTCTGAAATACCTCACGCAATGCTTTTCTTGACTTTATTGTTTGTGCTGAGAAATCTACTGTGATTCTGATAGATTTTCCTTTATGGGTGATCTGTCTTTTCTCTCTGACAGCTTTTTAATATTCTATTCTTATATTGGATTTCTGGGATGGTGATTATTATATGTCTGGGTGTAGCTTTATTTTGGTTATGGCTATTTAGAGTTCTATATGCTTCACTGATCCTGATGTCAGTTTGCATTTTCAGCTATTACTTCTCTAAATATCCTCTTGATATCTTTTATTTTGTCCCCTTCTTTTTCATTTATCCCTATCAATAGTATGTTGTTTTTCTTTGCATCATCTTGCAGCTGTTGAATTGTTATTTCTTGATTCCTTGTTATTTTTAAAAGATCTTTCCTGGCCTGTTCACTAGCTGCAGTCTTGTCTTCGAGGTCTGAAATTCTATCTTCTCTTTCATTGAGGCGATTTTTATAACTTTCAATGGAATTTTTGACTTCCTGTGTATCTCTTTGCATCTGCTTTATGTATTCTGTTTGTTTCTTATATTGTTCATCCAGGGATTCTACTTGTTTGTTTAGTTCCTCCAATTTTTTAACCGTGTCTTCTTTAGATATGTTCACTATTTCTTTCATTTCTTTTACTTGGGAGATTATTTCTAGTTTGAATTCTTTTAAAGCTTCCCAGAGTTGTTTCTTTTATTTCAGTTGCTATTATGTCAGGTATTTCAGGTGTATGGCATATATTTTCTTCTGTGTACATGTCGGTGTCGCTCCCGGCCGGCAGGAAGAACACGCAACAATATCTGGCGGTGGTCAGGCTTTTCTTTATTCTCTCCTTATACAGTCTGCCCCGAAGCCTCTACCGGTCCGCTCTCCGCGGCTCCTTCCGTGCTTCTTTCTCTACAGTCTGTCCCGAAGCCTCTACCGGTCCGCTCTCCGCGGCTCCTTCCGTGCTTCTTCTCTACAGTCTGCCCCGAAGCCTCTACCGGTCCGCTCTCCGCGGCTCCTTCCGTGCTTCTTCTCTACAGTCTGTCCCGAAGCCTCTACCGGTCCGCTCTCCGCGGCTCCTTCCGTGCTTCTTCTCTACAGTCTGTCCCGAAGCCTCTACCGGTCCGCTCTCCGCGGCTCCTTCCGTGCTTCTTCTCTCGTGGCGGGAGAGGCACTCACTTTTATAGGGTTACAGTGGCCAATCAGTTCAAAGCGCGCGATGCGGGCTGATTGGCTAACATCAGTTGTTGCTAGGCAGACTATCTTTTACCAAGCAGGAAGCAGGAGATAAGCGCCATCTTAGCACACTCGATGGGAGGGGTAATCTAGCTCAGGCTTTGCTCTTTCTTACAGGCCTCACGTCCGCCAAGTAAGGCGACCGGGCTCGGCCGCGGCTCCCAACATGTACACAGCTCCTAGGGTTTCTTGGGATGAGCTGGAGGTTTGAGATTGTATTTTGGTCTTTCGTTTTGTCATTTTCCTGTATTTCCATGTTTCAAGTGTTATTCTAAGGCTTCCCCAGGGCCTGTTGGAAATCCTCTTCTATGCCCTCAGCTCCTGGGACTCTGGTCACCTAGTTCTCTGGATTGAGAGAGGAACCCTGCAGGTGGAGCAGGCAGGCCCAAGCCCTATGGTGCAGGTTGAGTGTGGCAGGAAGCTGTGAAGTTCCTTGGCTTGTGGGAGCAATGATCCCAAACTCCGTGGTTTGGGGGATGGTGTAGGGATACTCACTGCAGGCAGCTCAGCCTCTGGAACTGAGAGCACTGGCAGGCCAGGGACCCCAGAGTCTGGCAAGCATGGCAAGGAGAGAGCCGGGCAGTTGTTGTAGGTAGTCTCAAGACCTGCTGAGCTGGTCCAGTGCAGCAGGAAGCCACAAAGTTCCTTGGCTGGGCCGAGTGAAGATCCCAAACTCCCTTGGTTCGGGGGATGGTGCTGGGACACTCACTGCAGGCTGCTCAGCCTCTGGAACTGAGAGCGCTGGCAGGCCAGGGACCCCAGAGTCTGCCAAGCATGGCAGGGAGAGAGCCGGGCAGTTGTTGTAGGTGGTCTCAAGACCTGCTGAGCTGATCCAGTGTAGCAGGAAGCTGCAAAGTTTGCAATGTTTTCTTTTACTGTAATTTTTAAAAAAGATTTTTCAATATGCACAGTATATTTTGATCACCTTTGTAAATTCATTAAAATCATAAAACTAAAAGTTTAGTTCTTCGGTTGCTAACCACTTAGCAAGTGTTTGGCAGCTGTGAGTGACTAGTTGCTGCCCTGTTGACTGTGTAACCATAGAACATTTTGCCATTGCATAAAATTCTATTGGGCATTGCTGGATTTGAGCAAATACCCTGTTTTTAAAGTAGTGCTTCTTAGTCTTGGAACTCCTGCCTGCAAAACTAAATGAATAGTCAGATAGCTGCTTAGTGGGCATGAGACCAGGACTGAAGAGATGGGGATGCCTAGAAAGCATTTCACGGTGGCATCATGAATTGGTACCTTTTTACTCCTGGGTACCCTTCTTTCAGATCCGTGCATTGTATTTATCAGATTCAGGCTCTCATGCTTCAGATAACTTCAGGTACTGTGGATTCTGAATCTCTTTCCTTTATTTTTCTGTTGTTTAGTCTTCTGAATTCCTCATTGGAAGATAGGAAAGGAGAGGGGAGAAGCAGGCCTTGAAAAACTCTTTCAATGTTTGTCAGTAGGATATTTGTCATTTAGAGGTTTAAAGACTGTTTCTTTCCTCTGTCATGTTTACCTTGGCAGAAAGGAACCAAGAAGAAGGGGAAATGTGATTATATTTTGAGAAGGGCAGAAGTTAGTGGACAGAAGAGGATATAACTCAGCACAAAGTGGGGACTAATAGAGAACCATGAATAGCATCAGTATCAGGAGGTGGATGGGGTGAGAGGAGCTCATAAACGAGAATGAAGTAAAGTAACCAGACGTGCTGCCCTACCAGGAGGGAGCCTGCTGCAGAGGACACATCCTGTGGAAGGGAGGGTTCTAAGAATAATTTGTTGGGTGTCAAATGTGCTGAGACAGCAGTTAGAGTCTAAAAAAATTTCCTGCTTGAATTTAGCAGAGAGAAGGTCAATGTTAATAGTTTAGGTGGTTGTCAGTGCAGAAGTGAGACCACAGTGATAATGGAGGAAATGAAAATATATCAAGACTAAGGGATGAGCTCTATCACCACAATTGGCCATTAAGATGAAGGAGACAAGAGGGTGGTAACTAGAAAGAGATGTAGTCTAGGAAAGTTATTTTTAATGTAGAGTTTGAAGTCATTTTAAAGGAGGATGAGAAGGGGTCAGTACACAAAAGGATGAAGATACAGAAGACAGAGTGAATCCTCAAAGAGTACAGTTCCAGAGAAGTGAAAGGAGATGAGCTCAAGCCTCCAGGAGGTCAGATGATCCTTTAAAAAGACAATTGACTCTTCAGTCATTGAACTAGTGCTAAACTGAGATTGACTGTATAAGCCTGAGGCCTCATGCTTGATGCACTGAATTTGGGAAGTAATCATGGGAGTTAATTAGCAAAGGCAGGGTTCTAAGAGTCTTTGACTTCCCAAAACTAACCACTGACTGCTGAATTAAATTGCTAGAACTGTAGTGCACATGGGATGGGGCTCAGGAATGTGTCATTTTCATGTGCCAGTAAATTCGGAGTCCAGCCTTTCCCACCAGTGACCTCATAGACTCTTCTTTTCTGGCCTCCAGTATCACAAGGGAGGCCCTATCATCGCTGTACAAATCGACAATGAATATGGTTCCTATCAGCAGGACATAAAATACATGGCATTTATAAAACAGGTAAGTATGACTTTAATGTCTCTAAGTATTTATGTCCTCCTTTTTTCAGTGCTTTGTGGAGCAGACATTCTGGGTATCTGTAATTTGCATGGAGCTATGAGATATAAAGACATATAAGGCTCAGTTTCATTTTTTCTTATTCTAGCGAGAGGACTATAAACTACCCTCATAACTCAGTATGAGAATAATGTTATGATAACTTTCTTTTCTGTGGATATCAACAGAGCTTTGATGTTTGAATTATACATGTTTTACATCTTGCTTTCAACTTTCCTGTATCAATCTATTCAAGGTACATATATTAAGTAGTACATACGTAAGTGTATACTTAGAATTTGTTTCGTTTATGAGAACTCTTGCCTTATAAATGAGGTACACACTTAGTATATTTACTGTTACAGTTACATTTACCTCTACCATCTTAGTGTTTTCTTTTTATTTGCCCTACCTGTTCTGTGGTCCTTTTTCTCTTTCATCTTGTGTCCTTGTGACTGAGGGTATTTTGTTGTTTTATCCTTTACTAGCTTGCCACACATTTTTATTACTTGGTTAGTGTTTGGCATGCAGCTAAAATTTTTCATTCTTGAATTATTAACATCTGAATTAATATATTTGCCAATTGCAGGAGAAAGCAAGCACTTTAAAACAGTTTAACTGTATTTTCTTTTCTCATACCTTAGGTACTATTGTTGCCATTTGTTTTAACTCTATTTATCTTTGTATGTATCCACCAACACACTATTATTATTTTTGTTGCAAAGATAATTGTCATTTAGGTTACTCAGATAATTATTTTTGTTGCTCCCCCACCCCATTTATGTGAGCTTTTATCTCTTTTATTACTTTTTTCTGCCTTTAATGTTTTCTTTGTTGTAGGTATTCTATAATAAGCTTTCTTGTTTGTTGAAAAATATGTCTAAGATGCTTTTACTCTCTGAAGAGTCTTTGGTTGACATTTATTTTGTGTATTTTTTGACAACCTCTGTTTCTGCTAAGAGACTAAGCATCAATGAAATTATTGTTCCACTGAAGGTAAAATTTTTTTCCTTTTGAATTCTTTTAATACTTGTTTTTCTTAGTTTGTTTTGTTTCCAAAAATTTTACTAAGATTACATAGATATGGAGTTGTTTTTGCTTATTTGCTGAATTTTTTGCACTCTTTAGTTTGTGTTTTGGAGTGTTGAATCAGTTTTGCAAAATTCTCAGCCAGGGGTAGTGACACACACTGGTAACGTAAGGATTCTGAGAGGCTACGGCAAGGTTACAAATTCAAACCCATCCGGGGGAATTTAGTGGCTTAGTGAGATCCTGTCTCACAAAAGGGAGTGGTGATCATAGCTCAGGGGGAATGTCTTATGTTCATTCCCTAATATTAAAAAGAACAATGATTAGCCACATTTCTATGCCTTGCTTTCTCTCTCTTCTCCGCAGATCATTTCAATTACACAAATGTTAAGTGTTTCCATCATATTCCATGTATCTGTTATGCTTTTCTGATCATTTCTTCTAACCTATCCTTAATTATTTTTTTCTTCAGTTTTGTCTAATCTGATGCTGATCTCTAATTAAAGTTCCTAGTTTTACATACTTTAACTTTTTGTTCTAAGTTTTTTCTTTTTTATTATTTCTGTTTCTTTGCCAACATTTTCAAATTTTTCTTTAATTTCTTTAACATATTAATAAAATATCTATTTTGGAATCTATGTCTAGTAAGCCTAATATGTGATTCTCCAGGGATCTGTTTCTGTGTGATTCTTCTTTTGGTTTCTGTAAATTGTTACCTTATGGTGAGCCTAATCATATTTTTTCAATGTTAGGCAGTTATTTTTGAGAACACAGATCACTTGAAGACTTTCATTACCTCCTAGATAGTTCATTTTGCTTTAGGTCTAATTTCTCAATGATTTGAAACTGAGATTCTATTCCTGTAAGAAAAGGCCTAATTTTTATTCACCTTTGTTTCTAGGGGTTCATCTTTTAGGTCCTAGTGGGAAGTCTGGGCTTCAGCATAAGCCCTCACCAGGGTGATACCCGAGCTGTAGTTTCTTTCCCCATCTCTGATCAGCTTTTCAGCAGTGCCAAATGGCAGCTTCCCTTCCTCTCTATGATGCAGCTTCTTGAGGTCTGCCCTTCCACACCCTACATTTCCCAATAAGTCTTCAGGAATTGTTTAGTCCATTATGACTAGCTGTAATTAGAAGAAAGGTTCACTGGGTATAAAAGGAGTTCTTCATCCCTAGAAATAGACTTTTTCTCTCCGTGTAAGCTGTGAACCGTGCATCTTGGTTTGTCCAGCTTAGTCCCAGGAGGAAACACTACCATCTTCTTTGTTCTCACGTCTTCTAATTTGAATATGTTAATGTCCACCTGCCAATAAGCTGTGTTGGTGCTGGGACCAGAGGTGAAACCCTTCCTTTCCACAGGACCAGTGTGCATTTGAGTGCAGTGACACTGAGAGATTCAAGAATAGAGAATTCTTGAATTCCTCTATTTTTCAAAAAAGAGTCAATTAGAAATAAGCCAACAAAGGATCTGAGGGTCAGTGAAGGTATATTTTCACTTTCAGGATATCTTGGTCCAAAAATGCCAACTGTGTACATCTTTAGCTTTTCTTAGTAAGTAAGCACGGCTGTAGTCTCAGTATTTTATCCCTGGTTTAGATAATCTCCTTAACCTCTTCTGTCTGTCTTTGATTTACAATCCACTAGAGTTGTTTCTAGTTAGTGTAGGAATGTTAAGGGCTCATGCAGCAAAAAGTGTGACATGGATAGACTAAGCCACAATTTACCTGCCTTTAGCATTGGCTGCAGGAGAACTAGCCATGATGTGTGTGTTTCTAAATACATACCATGAACGTAGCCCATGGGATACAGTTATTTGGGGTGATGGTGTAGACAAGAATGTTTGTCTTAAGCTGTCTATAGAAAATCCACAATTCAAGTCCCTGGGGGAAAGCACTGTTTTAGACAGCTCTCCACAATTCTACTGCTTTTCTGTAAGGCTGGAAATATCTCTTGTTACCTTGGTCTTGCTGAGTAACTGAGGCAGAGATGGTATTTTGTCTTATCTTCCTGCTTATATAAGTAGCTGGGTAGAGAATATACTAGCATTTTCTAGTATTTTTAATACCTGAATTTTTCTTTTCAGGAAGAGGCTATCCCGTGGACCAGAAACAGTCCATTTAACTTTCTAAATTTCTCCCTAGGCCCTGGAGAGAAGGAAGATCAAGGAACTGCTCATAACTGCAGATAAAGGACTAGAATTGAAAGAAGGCCACTTGAAAAATGGTAGTTTTGGTTTTGCCTCTTTCCTCCATGCATCTAGTCAGAAAGTATAAATGGGGACTGCTGGTTTATCTTTGCTGTGTCCATTGAGAAGGCCCATGGCCTTTATATAAAAATAGGGACTCACATCCAGAAATGAATTAGGAAGCTAGACCCACCTTGCTGCCGCCCCAGCTGTCAGGCTCAGAGCGGTAACTTGCAGAGGGTTCTCTCCATCCTCCCCAAGCTCTGGTGCCCAAGAGGAGGGTCTGGCTGGGCCCAGAGGAAAGTTTTCTGTAGTGCTGCCAATGAGCAACAAGGAGTAGCTGAGGTCAGAGAAACAGTGCAACCATGAAGCCAGCTCCGGGGCTCTTGAGGGAGCCAGCCCAGGGGTAGGGGCAGTGGGGTCTCAGTGGAGCTCAGTGGTAGTGCACTTGCCTAGCATGCATAAAACCATGGGCCAATTCCCAGGACTGCAAAAACATAAATAATCAGGGAAAAAGTAAAACAGCAGTGTGAAAGAATAATGGAATAAGATTAAAAGGAGGAAACACAAATTGACTTGCAGGAAAATGGATAAAGGTAACATGCAGACAAGTGGCCACAAAAAGGACAAGAAATGTAGCTTGTTGATAGAATGCTTACCTAGTGTGTGTGCGAGACCCTGGGTTCCATCATTGGCACTGGAAAAAAATAAAAAAACAGACAGAGAAATGTGCCTGCTGGTATTCTTTAATCCTGGAAATCCTGCCAGGTGCTTTCTTCTCCACTGCCATCTTCTCTGAGCTTTTTGGTGGTCATTCCCTTCCTGCAGTGGGAGAGGCAGGTCAGAGTTCTGCATTAGTAGTCAGGGCTGAGGGAGTACCCCAGTGACAATGCATGTACTAATAGTACTGAGCTCCACTGGGACCCCACTGTCCCTACCCCTGGGCTGGCTCCCTCAGGAGCCTCGGGTCTGGCTTGATGGTTACACTGTTTCTCTGACCTCAGCTACTCCTTGTTGCTCATCTGGCAGCACTAGAGAAAACTCTTCCTCTGTACCCAGCCAGACCCTCCTCTCAGGCACCAAGGGCTTGGGGAGGATGGAGTATTAAGGGTGGTTCCGAGGTGTGCAGTATAAGGGGTACCAAGCTCCGGCTCTGCAGCCCTTCTGAACCTGCCTTGTTGAGATTACAGCAGGACTCAGGCACGGCTTCTCCCTTCTCTCTACAGTGCTGGCCTCTGTCCACATGAAGGATATACGGCAGAAAACCTACAGAGATCTCTATGAAATTCAGGTAGGGCATTGCAGAGATGGGGGCTGTCTGGATTCTTGTGGGCCCCATGCTAAGAGCTGACTTGGGGGAATTCTCGGCAGTGATTAGTTCAGTGACAATTTATTTCAGTTTTTAAAAATTTATTGGTACATTTTAATTATACATAGTGATCGCATTAATTATAGGAAATTTGTACCTGTACATGATGTATTTTGATTTGTCTTTTTTTACCATTCCCATTCCCTCCTTTCAAACCTCCTTCCCCTAAGCATTCACAAAGCTTTGTTTTCATTTTAATCCTTCTTTTCTCATGCTTTTCTTTTTCTTTTTTCCTTCCGCATCCCTAGTTCCCCTTTCCTTTTCAGCTGTTCCGTCCTATTTCACAATACCTGTTGTACATTTTGATTCTTATTTACGTTTTCAGTTTCTCACTGCAGAGAGCTAAGGTGATATTTACATATGTGTCTGATTTATTTCACTTACCCTTGTCTTATTTCTGATTTTAGAGTGAAACTTTTAGTTTTTGAACATTTGGTATGATGTTGGCTGTTGGTTTGTCATAGGTGGCTTTTATCAGATGGAGATAAAGATCTTGTATTCTGATTTTCTTTAGGGCTTTTAATCATGAATGGGTGTTGGACTTGGTCAAATGCTTTTTCTGCATCTGTTGAGATCATCATGTGGTTTTTGTCATTGGCTCTATTAAAGTAGTATATTACATTTATTGATTTGTGTATGTTGAACCATCCCTGCATCACTGGTTGAAACCTACTTGATCATGGTTTATAATCTTTTTGATTCTGTTTTCCAGTATCTTTTTGAGGATTTTTGCATTGGTGTTCATTGGGGAGATTGGCCAGTACTTCTCTTTTTTGGTTGCATTCTTCCCTGGCTTTGGTATCAGGTAATACTTGCTTCCAGGAATGAGTTTTGGAGTATTCTTTCCTTTTCAATTTCATTCAAAAGTTTGAGAAGCAATGAAGTTAGTTCCTTTCTGACTTTATCATAGGACTCATCTGTGTATCCATCAGGACCTGGGCTTTTCTTTGTTGTGAGTTAATTACACTTTCAATTTCATTGATATCACTTGGTTATTTGGAATATTTATATCTTCTTGATTCAGCTTTGGTAGTTCATATCATCTGTGTTTTCTGTTGTTTTAGAATAAAGGTTCTTGAAGTATGTTTTGATGATTTTGGATTTCTGTAGGATATGCTGTAATTTCACCCTTTTCAGTCCTAATTATGTGAATTTTCTTCCTTTTTTGATAAGGTTGGGTAAGGGTTTATCAATTTTATTTAATCTTTTAAAAAACCAACCTTTCAATTCGTTGATTCTTTGTATTGTTGTTTTAGTCTCAGCTGCATTAATATGTGCTCTGATCTGTATAATTTCTTCCCTTGTGTGAGTTCGGACTTGAAGTGTTCTTTTCTAGAAATTTGAGATTCAGCATTAGGTTTTTTGGCTCATTCTGTCTTGTTGATATGAGGATTCACTGTTACAAATTTCCCTCTTGTGACTGCTTTCATTGTGTCCTATAAATTTCAGTATTTTGTATCAGCATTATAATTTAGTAGTAGGAACTATTTTAATTTATTTTTCTTTTTAGTGTTTTTTTTTTTTTTTTTTTTTTTTTTTTTTTGGTACCAGGGATCTAACTCATGATCTTGTGCTTGCTAGGCAGGCACTTATGCCATTGAGCTAAATTGCCAGCCCCTAATTTCTTCTTTAATTTTATCTGTGACCTATTTGTTGTATAATAGGGTGTTATTTAATTTCCATATATTTATGGGGTTTTTGTGGTTTCTTTTAACATTGGTTTCCAATTTCATTACACTATGACCAGATAATATGCATGGAATAATTTCAAATCCTTTGCATTTACTTAAACATGTACTGTGGGCTATTATATGTTCTGTTTTGGATAACGTCCTGTTTGCAGATGAGAAGAAGGTGTATTCTGATGTTGTGAGGTGGAACCCTTTGTAGACATTTAACAGGTCCATTCATTCACAGGTTTGGTTTAGTTCTGTTATTTTTTTGTTGATTTTTTGTCTGGTTGATCTATCTATTTGTGATAGTGGAGTGGTAAAGTCCACCATTACAAATGTGTTAGTTCTTATTTGAGTTTTAATGACTATTCCTATTTGTTTTATATAGTTGGATGCTTCTGTATTTAGTGCATATATATTTGTGGTTATTATCTCTTCTTAGAGTTTTCCCTTAATAAGAATGTAGTGAACTTCTTTATCACTTTTGATTTATCTTAGCTTGAAGTTCACATTGCCTGCAAATAAAATAGCTACCCCTGTTATTTTTAAGGTTCTTGTTGCATGGGATATTGTTTTCCATCCTTTGACTTTCATTCTATGAATTTCTTTTAAAGTTAAATATGTTTCTTGTATGCAATATATTGTTGGGTTTTTCTTCTTGATCCATTCTGCCAGACTGTTTATTTTGATTGGTGAATTGATATCATTTACATCAATGGTTGTACCTGACATGAATTGTCTTATCTTTGTTATATTTTTATCTGCTCTTGGTACTGTCTTTCCTGTCTGTTTAATTGCTTGCCTCTATTTCTGTTCTTGTGCTACATTACTAGAATTTTGATTATTATGTCTTGCTGTAGATTTATTTTGGTCATGGCTAATTGGAGTTGTGTATGCCTCATTTATGTTCAAATCAAATTAGTTTTCCATACTTGGGAAGTTTTCCTCCATTACTTCTGAGAATAGATGTTTTATGCCTTTCATGCTGACTCCTGCTTTTTTCATTTACTCCAATCAAACATATGTTATTCTTCTTTGCATCATCTTGCAACTGTTAGATTTTTTTTCATGTTCTCTTTTTGTTTTTAAGAGATTACTTTACAAGATCAGTAGGTGCAATCCGGTCTTTTAGGTCTGAAATTCTGTCTTCACTTTCATTCATTCATTCAGTTTTTCAGACTTTCAATGGAATTTTTAATTTCTTGGATATCTGTTTGAATCTTTTTCATGGATTCTATTTCTTTTCTATGTTGGGTGTTCATGGTTTCCATTATTTTCCTATGCTGTTCTATGTTTTAATCTGTGTCTGCTCTAGACTTGCTGAGTGAGTCCTTCTTTATTGCCATCATCACTTTTTTAACCTGTGAAATTTTTTTCCCCCAGAATCTCTAAATGTCCCTAGAGACCTTTTTTATTTCTGGGAAATTATTTATGATCTGATTTCCTCTGTTGTCTCATACATTTGTTTTTGGACTTCTGCTCCTATCATTTAAGAAATTTCAGATGGATGACCTCCATTTTTTTCTACTGCATTGTCCCTTGGATTTGACCTGGACGGGCTGGAGATCTGGGGTTGGATTTTGCCTCTGCATCTTGTCATTTTGTACTTTTTTTTTAATTTGTATTTTTGTGTATTGAGCCTGTAAATTTCTTATAGTAGATATCTTTGTCACTAGTACTGAGGCATCCTAGGAAAGGAATATTCTTTATGGGTATCTTCTGTGTGTAGGAGGTTCTTGGTTTTTGTGTCTATACCAAGATCCTAATTCCCAGTTCATCAAGGATGAGGTGTTGCTATCTATTGGGCTTAGCACCCAGTCCTTCGGTGCTAGTCTATGGTGATGGTTATGACCCCAGGTAGTCACAGTGTTGTTATGGAAGGGAGAACAACTGATTACAACAATGTAACATCTTGGCTAAAGTATTATATAATTAGCAATAATAACAGCATCAAGAATGGCCTAGAAACTTACAAACCGTGTTAACTGTTAATTTAATATCTTTAACCATAGACTCCAGTTATTTAAAAAAAAAAAAACAGCATAAATCAGGAACTTGTATGCAATGAGCTCTCCCCTCATAGAATGATTTTACCCTGTGGTGGGGGAAATTTAAGCAGTATAGGGGACAAAACAGAGAGATAAATGAAGAGAAATATACTTGAAGCAAGGCTAGAAAGCAAATGATGTTCACACAAGCTTTAGCAAACTATGAGAGGGCAGGCGAGAAAAAATGAAGGAGAAAGCAAACAATTATGAAAACAAATCAGAAAGAGTAGAGATGATGTTCATTCACAAGGTGATATCAAGAGAGATAGCTGAGAGAAAGAAGATGACTAGAACAAATATTTTTTAAAAAAGAAAAAGCAAAAACAAATAAAAATCCAACCAGACAGTAGAATGAAAATGATGCACAAAAACAAAGAAAAGAAAATTAAATAAAATTCCTCTGGTGTCCACTGTTCTGTGATAGTGCCCAAATTAGAGTCCACCAATCCTGCCATAGAATTAGTGCTAGATTAGAGGTGAGGCTGATCTTGGCCTCCAATGTGGGGCTGTTACCAGTGTTTAGCCAGCATCTTTCCAGATGGCCTGCCCACATCTCCTTGACCTCTTTGGCCCTGAGTTGCTCTCCTGGTTGCTGTGGTGCCCTCAGACAGAGACAGCTCAAGGCTTTTCCCAGTCCTGCTTATGGTTGGCCCCTCCCAGGCCTTGCACAGCCTCCTCTGTTCCACACTTCTGCTCCTCTCACGTGCTCCCCTCCTTGTTCTGTGCTAGTGGTAGCAAATCTGTCCTGTACTGCTGGTCACAGGTTGGGGGAGGGCTGTCTCTCTGGCCCAAGAATGCTTGTGCTGCTAGTTGAGGGAGTACGTGTTTCCCACTCCTTGTTCCTGCTCCTGAAGGTCAAAGCTGAGTGCAAGTGGCGAGGCAGGAGGTGTTGTTTTGTTCACTAGCAACCCTCACTCCATGGCTGCTCGCTAAACTTGTTGTTGCTGGAGATTCCAGTTAGCAGTAATGGTGTGTGACAGAGAAAGAAAAAGAAAGAAAAAGACAAAGAAAACAAACCAAAAACAAGCAAACAAAAACTCAAACAAATAAAATAAACACTGGTGTGCGTTAGGGAGGGAGTGGTCATTGGCCTGTGTGTGTGCCCACAAAGTTTGTTGCCAGGTTTCCGTGCCCTCTGTTTGCAGGGTAGCAAAAGGATAAGGGACCTTCTATTCTAGGTCTGTCCTGTGTGGTTTGAATT